CCGAAAATATGGGCCAGTAAACACCTGCGCAAAGCTAAATTATCTTGACGCGTTGTGGTCTTGTGGTACATCCCACGCAGATTAATTTGTGTGTTGCACAAGGTTAGCCAAGGTGGCCAACTGGGACCGTTGTGGAACTCCTCTTGATGACCCCGGTAACAGCCCCCTCACCAGAGACATATGCAACCTCCAAGATCAGTCACCAACCCTGTATTTCTTATTGATGCCACTGCACCGTTCCATTGGAGAGGTTGCCATGTTGGGATGGGTATGCTGCCATCTAGTGTAGTACATGGATAATGTTGTGATGGTTTGATAAATTTGAAAAAAAAGGCAGCGGTGCATGTAGCTCCCGCTTGCGCAGGGTCCGACCACTTTGGGTCTATTGTACGCAGTCTTTCCCTACATTTCTATAAGATGCTGTTTCCAGGACTTGGCGGCAGCTTTACCACTGCGCCAAGGCTCCCCTTCATAAATTTGAAATTACAAGAACAATTTTGGCATACCTATTGCTAATATGTAAATGAATTTCATGTTTTATTTGGTCATGTGAGTGCGATGTTTTTCATTAACTTTATATTCTGTTGTAGTATTGCTCAACTTTTGACATGATTCAAGAATAATTGAAGTCCATGGTCGTGTATGTTTTTCTTTACTAATTACTCACCCGCTTTCAGAATTTCTTGGCAAAATCAAACGTGATGTGAGCAAAACTGACTTGTATACATGCCATTTGATCTTGATTTAAGGTTCATTGTGACTTTAATATTGTTGTCTAGCTTAGGACATATATATGTGTTGAACAGATGCATATTATTATTTCGAGTGATTTATAGTTGAAAACGTGTCTTCTGTTTGTGTTCAGAGCTTTCAAGACACAACATATTCATCAAAGGCAACGTCGAGCTTAGTGTTACCCCACACCATTGAGAATGAGATACAAAAAGGCCAATCTTATTCTGAAGATGATGACATGACAATGATCCAAGAGAGCCTCACACACACCAGTAATGTGCTAGGTCCTGTAGAAGAATTTCAGCTTATTGGGCGGGAGAAAGAAATATCTGATATTATTGAATTGATTCTAGAACACTCTGGCACCCAACAACAAAATCAGGTCATTGCAGTGTGGGGAAAGGGTGGTGTTGGGAAAAGCACTCTGATCAATGATATTTACCGTAGCCAAGAGGTCAATCAAATGTTTGAAAAGCATGCCTATGTCACAGTCTTGCAACCTTTCAAGCTTGAGAGGCTCATTAGCAGCTTAGCATTTCAACTAGATGCAAGGAAAGTTGCTTCAACGAAAGTTGCAGACTTTACTAGAGTGTTGGACCGGTGTTTACAAGAAAAGAGTTGCTTGATTGTTCTTGATGACCTCTCGTCTACCATGGAATGGGATATAATATTGCCATGTTTGCTGGCAATGAATAGTCCAAGCTTGGTTATTCTGATAACCACAAGGCATGAGGATATTGCTAAGCATTGTTGCAAAAACGCAAAGTGCATACGCTTGCTCAATGGTCTAAATGAAAAGGGTGCTTGTGACCTCTTCACAGAAAAGGTACTGATAGAATACTACCCATATTATTCACTTTCTTAATTGCAAAAATATATAGTTCCCTTTATCTAGATCTTCGAAGGGTCATATTTCAGATTAGCATACTGTAAGCACAACACAACCATCCCCCTTTACAAGAGATAATTCAGAGTGGGTTGCAAGAACGTAAATTCGGCTATCATGTTGTAGGGCAATATTTAGGAATCATATACATTCGACATGCTAGGTGTGAAACCAAAATACTGATTACATGAACCCATTTCCCGAGTTAGGCCAGGTTAGCTAGCATTAGAATCAAGCTGGCAAATTCCATGACTTCACTACTTCCCTTACCAAATTATATGGGAACAATGTTTTGAAAGAATCATGTAACTATAATGAATACAATTTAATCATTTTTCCATATTTTTGAAACTACGTGCTCTCCAAACAGGTTGGTTTATGTACATGGTGCTAGAAAAGTACTTCCCCTTTTCCCCTTTTGTACAAACTGAGCCAAATAACATAAGCATCTTTCCAAGAATTACTAAAAAAATATACATATAGAGAATGGATGGAACATGCGTTGATGTTAAATTTGGTACAAAGTATGTTTGGGTGATGAACATGATAAGTATAACTCAACTTGTATTATAATAACAGATAGTGTTTCATATTTCAGTTTTAGAATTCGTACATACAGAACTATGTCCTAGTCACTCCAATTAAAAAAATAGATAATGAAAGGAATATTTCTAATTGCATTCCTGATGTTTATTACCAAGTCAATAGAAAACATAGCCTATTGCGTACTAGCCACCCAAACATGCACATGATAGACAAAAAAATAAACTCTGTACACTAGTTTCCATACACCTGACTCATCTTAATTACACAGTGGTCAAAACTAATTATATGTTAACCAATTGCAGGTATTTAAGGATAAAGCCACAGATTTGACTAAGCATTATCCTGAATTGGTTGAACCCGCAAATCTGATCCTAAAGAAGTGCAATGGACTTCCCCTTGCGATACTCACCATAGGTGGATTTTTGGCGGCACAACCAACAAAAACTGTCGGGGAGTGGATGAAACTGGATCGATGTATCAGTCTGGAGAGGGAGATGAATCCAAAGTTTGAGGGTGTAAAAACAGTGCTTCTGAAAAGTTATGATGGCCTACCCTATTACCTCAAGTCCTGCATCTTGTACTTATCCATCTTCCTTGAAGATCACATAGTTAGCCGGAGACGTTTGGTGTGCCGATGGGTTGCAGAAGGTTACTCAGAGGATACATCCATGGCCAAAAGATACTTCATGGAACTTCTAGAGAGAAGCATGATATTACCAACTCAGATTTCACTTTGCAGCATACAAGGAACTAACTCATGTCAAGTACATGATCCGATCCGTGATATCATCATAGAAAAGTCAATGCAGGAAAATCTTGTTTTCAGGCTGGAGGAAGGATGCAACTCAAACAACCAAGGCACATTCCGTCACCTTGCCATAAGCAGTAATTGGGATGGAGACAAAGTTCAGTTTGAGGCCACCATGAAGTTGTCATGTATACGGTCATTGACGGTGTTTGGCGAGTGGAGGCCATTTTATATTTCTGACAAGATGAGATTTCTTCGTGTGTTGGACCTCGAAGGAACTGAAGATCTAGCCGATCATCACCTTGAGCACATTGGGAATCATCTTCATCTGAGATACCTTTCTCTAAGAGGGTGTGAAGGGATATATTACCTGCCAGATTCAGTGGGTAACCTGCGACAACTTGAGACACTAGACATCAAAAATACAAGAATAACAAGGTTGCCAAGAACCATCGCCAAGCTTAGCAAGCTATGTCAACTGAAAGCTGGCAATGAATTCTATATCGGAGAAGAACGACCATCACTAGCATGTTGTGTACCTTTCGCTTCTTGTTGCGCGATGGTCATACAAGCTTATGCTGTTAAGGTGCCAGTAGGGATCGGGGAACTGAAATCCCTGAACACACTGCGATGTGTGCACCTTGAATGGGAAAATGCCATCATACAAGAGATAGGAGGTCTCACCAACCTCCGCAAGTTAGGAGTGTTTGGCATTGACAGGGGTAATGGCCCGGAGTTTTGTTCAGCCATTTCAGGTCTTGGCCGCCTTGAATCTTTGTCAGTGCGGTCAGAGGTATGGGATTTATGTGACATCTTGAATGGCATGTCCTCGCCTCCAGAAAATCTCCGGAGCCTCAAGCTTCTCGGTTGGATGGATGAACTGCCGCAATGGATCAAGGTGCTCCAGAATTTGGTGAAGATTAAGCTAGAATCCACCGAGGTGTCTATTAACGATGAAGACATGCGAATCCTTGGGAACCTACCAAACCTATCCATTCTGTCTATCATGGAGAAATCGTTCCAGAGTGCACTACCTATCACTTTCCATAGTGGCCTTTTCAGAAGCCTCGTGAGGCTCGAGCTTGTTTACATGGACGTGGAGGTCGGATCGTTGGAGTTTGAGGCATCATCGATGCCCAAACTCGAGGTGCTGAACCTGCGACTTATCGATTGTGAAATCAGCTTTTCTGGACTGGAATTTATCCCGAGCATCAAGGAAGTGCGGCTCTTGGTCGTCGTTACCCCAACACTCATCGCACGAAAGGAAAATATGACCGAAGAAGCAGAAGAGGAGGCAAGACACAGGGAAGACAAAGTCAAGGCAGACATGAGGAAGCAGCTCGCCAACAATGAAAACTGCCCCATTATGAACGAGCTAGGTCCACAAATTGTTTTCTGAACCTACTATGCTGCATAGTAGATTCAACCCGCGGGCTTATGTCGGCGAGGGGTCTCGACTTGTTGGCCTACTTGCCAGTGTGTTTCTTTATGTTCCAGTTTAGGCGGCGGTTTCATCTTATGTTGTGTAGTTTCTGAGTTTTAAGTTCATGTGTAATTGTTCATTTCATTTTCCTTGAACTGGCCTTGGGCAATAACTTTGTAACTGGACATCACTTCTACTTTGGCTTGCCATTACCTCTGTGTACTTCTTCTTCGACCATATTTTTCGACAAATGTAATTCATGAACCTCATCAACTTGTTACCATTTGTTCAGAAGAATGCTTCATTATAGATGGTTCTGCATGCCTAGATGTTCATTAGAGATGATTCTGCCTAGATGATTCCTGAACCTCATGAACTTGGTAGACCATGTAATGTCACTCATGTACTACTGAAGCGCCATTAATTTGACATTACAAAAGTTCAGTATGGTAATTGCCACTCAGTTACCACTGAAACACCATTAAGCTAAGGGTACACATTGTCCTAGCTGGTTCTGACTAGATGTTCATTGTCAATCAACATTTATACATGTGTGACATGCATCTGGAATGATTCAGCTTAGCTACCATACACAGATTTCCCGATTGAAAGGAGAATCGACAGAACACGACTGACCGAACTTGCTGCTCCCGGCTAATTAACTACGCGGAGGTGGTTCTCTCCATGCTATTGGTCCTCGCGTTCTCCCGCATCTTCTCAACGATGTGCCGGCCCTTCTCCTCCACCTGCCGCCGCTTCTCCTCCAGCTTGTCCCCCATCTTCTTCCCCAGGTCCATCATCCGGCTCCGCCTCCCGCTCTTCCGCTTTGCATCATCTCCAACAGAGCCCGCTGCTGCCGCCACCGCCTGCTGCTGCTGCTGCTGTTCCCCCGCGGGTATGATGGCCCTCAGGGAGGTGTACGGTGGGGATCCCGCCCTGCTCTCCGATGAGTCTGCCTGGAGCTTCTCCGTGGCCGGCAGCGGTTTCCTCGGCTCGTCGGAAGCGTCCGGGTGAGGAGGAGAGGCGGTCTCAGCCAGGAGAGACTGCGCATGAGATGCTTCTGCAGGAGGGTCTTCGGCTGACTCGTCGATGGATTTCAGGGACTCCTCGCTCCCGGCTGAGGAAGCAGGCAGACTTGGTGCTCTGCTTTTGCTGATGGCATCCTCCTTGGGACCAGCTTCCTCAGGATGGGTTGGTGTGGCGGCTGCGACATGGCTTTTGGCCTCGGTGGGTTCGTGGTTGAGCCAGATATAAGGTCCCTCCTTGCGGGGCACCCAGTCGTCCTTCTCTGCCAGCATCCCTGGAATGGAAATGCATTCACAGTTTGGAAGCACCAAGCTATCACGGAGCGAAACCTGACACAGCATGGTGTGTTTCGCTGTTAGACATGCAAGTCAGCAAAGGAACACCATGTTCAGAGGAAGGTCATGTTGTTTACCTTGATTCTGTTACCTATAAATGACGCGATGCGACTGTTGGTAATTTTCCTGTCTCCGACGGAAGATTCCAAGTCCCACTCCAGTTCAGGCATAGATGTGAATCCATACCAGAGTTGATCCGACGGAGGGGGCTTCAGATGTATGCGCAAGGTACCTCTAAAGGACGTGATTTTTATCGCCAGAGAAAGTGGAACCTGCAAGAAGAATGTAACGGCACATTTGATCTTAAGCTTTTGACATTTCTGTATGCGTCCATAAGAATACATAGGTAAAACACATGAATGGCGAGTCAGGAGACAACAAGGAGAAGAGCAAACCTGTGAGACATGGTCGGCTATTGAGTGCAACATATTTTTCAACCTTGATATATAAGTTGATGTCCATCCAGTGCTCTTGGACTGACTAGCATCTGAAACAAAAGACCATAATGTACATACAATCAACATCGATGGATCATAATTTGAGCCCTTTTTATTAATATGATGTTTTGTTAGAATCATCAAGAAATAATAAATGCAGATACACGAAACCAGTATTTCCACATTGCATAGGAATACTCCTCTAATACAAAACTGTTAACCTAAGTTCTGATGCAAGCCTGAAATCATAAATCCTAGCAATGTCTATCTGAAGTCTGCTACAGGTATATACAAAACCAACATAGGGAACTAACATGTCAAAGACTCTGAATATAGGAGTTGATCAGGACATTTTGCAGAAAGACAATGGCTCTCTTATCCTCTTAAGGATCATTCGGTCATTCGGTAGAACAAGCATAGACAAAGACTTCCAAGGAAGAATATAAAGTTTAAGCAAACCTGCTTCGTCTTTTCCTTCCACTGAAGAAACTGAGTTCTGTGAACCTCTAAACTGGTTACCATACTGCTCAATACTCTCAAGAAGCTCTGAGTCAACCTCCCCATTAGAGTCTGTTCCGAAATTGGTTTTCATGAGGTCCTTTTGTAACTCTGGTTCCTCAACCTCAAGCCTCGTTTCAATGTCCAACAATATTCCGCCTGAATATTCAAAATCAACTTCAAAGGCCCACAGCTCATTTAAATCCAGTGGAAGAACTCTCATCGCATGCACATAAGGTGGAAGTTTTCCAAGGCTGAACTCCGTAAGTGTAATTTCACCCACATAAGCTGGGGTCCTCATGCTTGATAATGTTCGCTGTACAAATGGGAATCATGAATAAACAAAAAGGAAAGAACACACCAACAGATTTCTTGAACATTAGCAGTATAATCTAACCTGAATACGTGCTTTGATGGCCTTGTTTATCTCATCACTCATTTGAGCATCGAAAAAGAGCCGTGAGGATAGAAGGTTCCAACAGAGTGTACCTTCATCCACAACTTTATCATCTGCATTTACATCAGGAAAAGCTAGAAGCTGTCCAGTGTGACTCGAAGCAACAGTTGGGACACTGGGTTTTGCTGTATCTTGTGATGAGCTGCTACTGAACTTGTCCTCTTGCGGACCTAGTAAGGATTCAATAAATGGTGCACCCTGATAGCTGCGTATTTTATCTAACATCTTCCTTTCACCTTGTGTGGATGAAGTAGCACTTGTTTTACCCTCCACGGGAACCTTTGTAGATGCCTTCTTTGCTAGTTTTTTGAGGAAAAGACGGACTTTGGAAGACCCATCCGTCTTTATTTCACTGTCCATAACCTCATGATCCTCAGCAGAAATTGCTGTCGGCTTTAGGAAACACGGGTATTCGGCATTTAATGATGATATGTAATTACCGAACTCTTTGCTCAACTTAGCATGCCAATTCAATTTCTTCTTGTCAGCAGTAGCTGCAAGACGAAGTGCTTTACACCATGATTCCTTCTCCCATGAAGTCTCAGCATAAAGAAAGCACACCTTGCTTCCATTATAGATGTCAGATTCCTGGCTTTCCACTTTTATCGGATACCTCTTAGTCCTGAAAATAAGCAACAGTAGCACAATCACATATAGGTTAAGCATAATATTCTACCAGCTGTAGCCAAACAGCTTGATGAAAGGCACATAAAGTTGCTTGTCAAATACTTCTACTTGTCCTCTAAAATAGATTTCGTTCTTCCCTTCATCAAAAAACTTATGTACTTAATCTTTAGCTGATTGTAACATGTATGATTTACCTTTGAACCAAGACATTCAATGCAATTCATCAAATATACTTCTCAGATTTGTTTGGTACTCCCTACTCGTCCAAGAAAAGAATGTATCTAGATGTATTTTAGTTGTAGATACATCCATTTTTATCCATTTTTGTGACAAGTAATTCCGAACGGAGGGAGTAATTAATAAGGCAAGCTCAAACTTAAATAGCTATTGTCTCAAAAAAATATTAACTAGCTTCACATTTATTTACACCTAGAAAAAGATGAATGATAATTTATTGATCACAGGTAAGCATTTTCATTTGTCTGGAGCACTTACCATTTGCGCGAGGACATGCTTGAAGCAGAAACAGCAACGATCGTGCAATTCAAAAGCTCAATTGTAGTTTCAGGGCCATCAGGACCAGACAAAGTAAGTGAGTGCCCTTTGATTTTAGCCGATTTCTTTGCAGGAAAAACCTCCACAATACTCTTCTTTTCCTTTGTCTCTTTGGGACCACCACTTGATAAGCGCTCATTACTAACTTTCGGTAGCTTTTCTGGCTCTAGTATCCACAGAGAGCCCTGTCAATATATGGCAGCAACGTAAGTAGGCTTGATCATTAGCGATAAAACATACAAAAGCTAAATGAAAAGCAATTTGATGAGAACTGAATGCAATGTTAAGTAAGCCCTTCACTGGCCAAATTCATTTTGCATATTTTGTCTTCAACCATCTTATTCACAATCTAAGACGGATAGAACATATTCATAAATACAGCCCTTGCCTGGACAATAGAAATTAATAAACAATGTGTTTATAAAGAAAAAGGAATATCACGATGGTAACATAGTGACAGGCAAAGATGTATTGTTAAGAACACGATAAAGCTAGTATTATTGCGTCTGACTAAGGTCAATCCATATGTATATTGGGTCAACAGTGGCAATGAGACTTAACCAGTTCTGATAATCAGAGGCAAATTGCTTATAATCATGGTAAAGCCTCTTAAGTAGGTATCCTACTCTTAGAGTCCTTGACATAATAACCAAAGGACTTCTGTACTCTATTACACGTGCATCCCCAAATCGCCTAATCTGAGTCATTCAATTCTTCACATTAAAATTAGTGGCAAGAGCATCTAGGAGACACCATCCAACAGAGACATAAAATGCATCCTTAAGTGTACTGCTTCCGAGTTCTGACACTGCTACACCTAACAGCTACGCATGCTAAAGGATAATAGCATCACAACCCCAAGGTGCAAGTCACAGTCAGAAGCCATTAAAAATCCTGGGAATCTAACTAGTAAGCACATATTACACAGTGGCAATTCCCACTCATGGACTACATGTTTGTTTTAGTCACAACTGGTACTACACATAGTGATGCCAAAATCGAACAACAGTTTAACCTGAGAAGGTGACACCCAATTTCAACATGCTAAATAAAGATAAATACATCACAAGGGTTGCGATCACCATCAGAAGTAGCTCACTGAGCACTACCCAGGATACACCCAGACATTCGAAAATAAACAGGTGGAATTCATAAATACTCCCTCCGTCCCAAAATAAGTGACTCAACTTTGTACTACTAATTTTGGGACGGAGGGAGTAGCAAACTGCGGACAGCGCATACAAGCATCTAGCATAAAGTACATTGGCGCCGTGGATCTACAAGCGGAACTCTGGCCACATACCCCTGTCTAATTTGGCCAGCTGAGCCACTATAACAGGAATGCACAGTGCAGTTAGTCCTCCAGGTCAATATTGAACAGCAAAAGCAGCCCAGGTCTCCCCCAATTTCAACCACCGCAATTGGGGGAGGAAGAACTAGTAGCACGAATGCGCACTGTTGCTTCCCCCAATCGACAGCAATCCAACTATCCAAGCGAAGCTAGTAGTACCAGCTACGCCCGACCCTTGGAACTCGCGAATCCGACTTATCTAAAGAGCGGAGCGGAAGCCGGCAGCTGATCCCTAGCCCCCGCCGCATCTGCGCGGAGCTCCGGAGCAGTTGCTGCCGCGCACGAACGAATCGAGAAGCGGAGTAAGCTACGGCGGGGACGGGGCGCGTGTAGCGTGCTCCTCACCTTCTTCTCGCAGGGGAACGGCTGCTCGCCGGGGAGCTCCTGGTCGCCGTCGGGCGGGGCCGAGTTCGCGGCGGCCTCCTGGCGGCGGAGGAGGCGGCGCGCGGCCCAGAGCAGCGCGGCCGCCTCGGCCGCGGCCAGCGCGAGCAGGCCGAGGAGGAAGCCCCACAGGAACCCCGCCGAGGCCATCCTCCTCCCGGCGGCGGCGGGGGCGGCGTCGCCGGCGGGGGAGGGAGGGACTGGAGTGCGAAAAGGGGAAAGCGGCGGGTGCTCGCCGCGTGAGGAGGAGAAAACGGACGCAACGCGTGGCGTGGGGGGGAGCTGCGGAGGAGACGCCCTTTTTCTTTTCTTTTGCTTCCGGCCGCGCACCGCGTGGAGGTGCATGGCAGGTGGTTGGATGGTGGGGGATGACGTGTGGGCCCGGGGGTTGACAGGGCCCGCGTGTCGGTGGGTGGGTGGGCGGGGGGGCGGGCGCGGGTGGGGTGGCTCGGTTGCTTCGCCCCGTCGGCTTTGGAATTGGAATTGGAATGGAATTCCACGGTGGCTACGCGTTTTGTTCGTGGGCATGTGTGCGTGTACGTACGGATTGTGTACGTGTGTACGAGATGAGCTCCCGGAGTATATCTGGCCATGGGCCGGGCCGGGCCGGGCCTAAAAAAGACCACGGCAGAAAACTGAGGCCCAGGTCGTCCCAGGCCCTACCATCAGGCCTACTTTTCAAGCCCAAGCCCGGCCCATCTGGTCAAAAGCCCTCAAAAGCCCTTAGGGCTTAAGGCCGTGGGCCGGGCCTCTTCCTTAAAATGCCAATATGCCAAGCCCAAGCCCACTAGGCCCTGCTGGTGGGCTCAAAACTTAGGCCCAAGCCCTGCCCACGAGCAAGACCATCGGTCCTAGGCCCTGGATTTTAGGGCCGGGTCTGGGTGGGCCGACAGGACCGGGACTGAGATGGCCAGGACTATCCCGGAGTATACCTGGCCACGGGATACTCGGCTCGGCCTTGCCCATGGGCTGGGCCTGGGCCTAGATTTTGAGCCCGATGCCCTGGTAGGGCCGGGCTTGGGCTTGCCATTTTTGCAATTTAAGGAAGAGGCCTGGCCCGTGGCCCGACGGGTTTTTTGATTGATGGGCCAGGCTTGGGCCTTGATACTAGGCCGGGCCAGGCTTGGGCCTCGATACTAGGCCGGGCCAGGCCTGGGCCTACGTTTTCCTGCTTCGGGCTTTGTTAGGTCCGGCATGAGTTATGGCCGCGTATATCTATGAGCTACGAGTTTTGAACATGGGCGTCCTATCATTAACTCTCTTTTTGACCCAAGGCCCATGTTCAAAAAGACGTTTTGTACATGGGCGAGTTGTGGGAGGATGTCAAGGCTCTCGTGCGCCATGCAGCCGGCAAGGACATGATGTAACCGCTCTGGACTGGGATGTTTTGTAGTCTCTAGACTGGGAGTTGTTGTAGAAAACTAGGTTGATTTTTTCCAACCTGATTATTTGATATGTGTGGTGCTGTAATGGGCTTGATGCCTGACGTTTTTTCTCGGCCAGTATTTCTTCACGGGCTGTGCTAACGAACGGTGGGCCTGTTGGGCCTGTATTATGCCGGTATTTCTTTGTCAATTTGTCATCAAGTGAAATCTAGGGAACATAAGTTATCCTCATGTATCTCGGGTGATTTTTGCAACTTATCACATATTGTTGATAGTGTTGGAAATATGCCCTAGAGGCAATAATAAAAGGATTATTATTATATTTCCTTGTTCATGATAATTGTCTTTTATTCATGCTATAATTGTATTATCTGGAAATCGTAATACACGTGTGAATACATAGACCACAATACGTCTCTAGTGAGCCTCTAATTGACTAGCTCGTTGATCAACAAATAGTCATGTTTTCCTGACTATGGACATTTGGATGTCGTTGATAACGGGATCACATCATTAGGAGAATGATGTGATGGACAAGACCCAATCTTAAGCATAGCACAAGATCGTGTAGTTCGTTTTGCTAGAGCTTTTCCAATGTCAAGTATCTCTTCCTTAGACCATAAGATCGTGTAACTCCCGGATACCGTAAGAGTGCTTTGGGTGTACCAAACGTCACAACGTAACTGGGTGGCTATAAAGGTGCACTACAGGTATCTCCAAAAGTGTTTGTTGGGTTGACACGGATCGAGACTGGGATTTGTCACTCCGTCTGAGAGAGGTATCACTGGGCCCACTCGGTAGTGCATCATCATAATGAGCTCAAAGTGATCAAGTGTTTGGTCACGGGATCATGCATTGCGGTACGAGTAAAGTGACTTGCCGGTAACGAGATTGAACGAGGTATTGGGATACCGATGATCGAATCTCGGGCAAGTAAAATACCGATTGACAAAGGGAATTGTATACGGGGTTGTTTGAATCCTCGACATCGTGGTTCAACCGATGAGATCATCGAGGAGCATGTGGGAGCCAACATGGGTATCCAGATCCCGTTGTTGGTTATTGCCCGAGAGCCGTCTCGGTCATGTCTGCATGTCTCCCGAGCCCGTAGGGTCTACACACTTAAGGTTCGGTGACGCTAGGGTTGTATGAATATGAGTATGCAGCAAACCAAATGTTGTTCGGAGTCCCGGATGAGATCCCGGACGTCACGAGGAGTTCCGGAATGGTCCGGAGGTAAAGATTTATATATGGGAAGTCTTATTTTGGTCGCCGAAAAAGTTTCGCACTTTATCGGTATTGTACCGGGAGTGCCGAAAGGGGTCCGGGGGTCCACCGGGGGGGTCCACCTGCCCCGGGGGGGGCACATGGGCTGTAGGGGGTGCGCCTTGGCCTATATGGGCCAAGGGCACCAGCCCCAAGAGGCCCATGCGCCTAGAGATCAAGGAGAGGGGAGAGTCCTAAGAGGGGAAGGCACCTCCGAGGTGCCTTGGGGAGGATGGACTCCTCCCCCCTCTTGGCCGCACCCCTTCCTTGGAGGAAGGGGCAAGGCTGCACCCTCCCCCCTCTCTTGCACCTATATAAAGGGAGGGGAGGGAAGGGGCAGCCGCACCCAGAAGCCCTGGCGCCTCCCTCCTCCCTGCAACACCTCCTCCTCCTCCCGTAGTTGCTTAGCGAAGCCCTGTCGGAGTTCTGCTGCATCCACCATCACGCCGTCGTGCTGCTGGATCATCATCAACCTCTCCTTTCCCCTTGTTGGATCAAGAAGGAGGAGACGTCATCCGCTCCGTACGTGTGTTGAACGCGGAGGTGCTGTCCGTTCAGCACTAGGTCATCGGTGATCTGAATCACGGCGAGTACGACTCCATCATCCCCGTTCCATTGAACGCTTCCGCACGCGATCTACAAGTGGTATGTAGATGCAATCACTCTCCCATGACTCGTTGCTAGATGAACTCATAGATGGATCTTGGTGAAACCGTAGGAAAATTTTTAATTTTCTGCAACGTTCCCCAACAAGTATACCTTCTACTTAAGATCCGAGGGCAAGATCTTTGTTGCCAAGAACGGATCCTTTCTGGAAAAGGATGTCACACCCTAGCTAGTTCATGCATTAGAGTGTTGCATCATGTCTATTTTTCTCAACAGAAACTTGAAATGGGGATGACAGAACCCCCAGCCCCCTCTGAATCCAACTAGGGTTTACTAAAAATATTTTCAAAGAACCTGAAATGCCCTTCTAAAATGCCCATCATTTTTGTCTTGGTTCAGAACCTCTGCCAAAAGTGATGCACAATTTTCTAGGTCATCCTAAGGTCTTTGAATTAAATCATAAATATTTGAATTTGGGCATTTAAAATTTATAAAAACATTTTAATGCTCAAATAATCCCAAACTAAAATGTTCCATGTTGGAAATATTCCAACTAAGGACCATGAGCAGTTTGGGAAATTTATGAGTTGTCTAGGTATTTTTAATAAGTCCACAAACCTACAGAATAAATAAAAATAGAAAAAAGGGGAAAGTCTTACCTGGCGCCACCTAGCAGGCCCACCTGCCGGCCCAGCCCAGCCACCGCTCCAGCGAGCTGCTTGGCTTGGCCAGGCAGGCATGCAGGTGCTCGACGGCGGCCGCAGCGTGCGCCACGCAGCTGCCCGTCGCCCTGCTTCCCCCTCTCGCCCCCCTGTGACCTTGGATGAGCTCCACGTCGTTCCCCGAACCCCCTAGACACTCTCACTCAGCCCCAGCTCCTCTCCCTCGCTCTCCCACGCCATGGCCGACGCCACCGCCGCTGCACCCTCGCCATAGTCGCGCTCTCCGTCAACCCCACGCCGCGCCACCGTGTCCAGGAGCTCCGCCACCCTCCTCTCCTTCGAGCTAGTCGAGCCCCGAGCGCTCGCGTGCCCCGAAGCCACCACACTGACCTCGACCGAACCGCCATCGCCGGAGATCCCCTTCACCGTCGCCGCCGCACCAGCTCATCTCCGATGGCGTCGCCTGCTTCCTCAAGACCGCTGTGAGCCTGGCTACCTCCTCCCCCTTCCCTTTCTCGCTCTCGTGCACCACCACGAGAACACGTAGCTCACCCGCACGCGCCACCGCGGAGCTCGTCGCCGACGTGTCTCCGGCTAACCACCGACCACCCCACCATGTCTAACGCACTCACCGCGTCCCCAGGGGCCCAACGCACATCTCCACGCGCCTCGCCGTGCCCCCTAGCATCGATTTCGACCTCGGCCGAACTCCGGCGACCGCCAAAGTCGTCGCCGGCGACGTTTCCGGCCACCCCGAGCTCAACCACCACCACCAATAACTGCGGCTCGGTTCCAGCTACGCGTAGATGCCCTCCGCCGCCCATTTGGTCGCCGGAATGCACAAAATCACTCGCGCCGCCGTGTTCGGCCTCACCGGCGGCTAGACGCCGGCGTGTTTGACTTTGACTTTGACTAGGGTGGGTCCAGGTTGACCCCCTGAGCCTATGACAAGTGGGGCCCCCTCTGCTAATTAACCCAGATTAGTTTAAACTAAATTTAGTTAGTTAATTAACTACTGACATGCGGGACCCACTAGTCAGTTTGACCTGGACCGTCCTGTTAACTTGCTGAGGTCAGCATGACATCATGCTGATGCAGTAATCCTTTTCTGGAATTAAAATAAATCTAGAATGATTTATAAATTTCAGAAAATACCCCAAACTTCAAAAAATCATAGTAAATCAACCATAGCTCCAAATGCAAAGTTTTATATATGAAAAATGATCAGAAA